GTAAAAGCTAAGTTTTTTGGACCTATCTTAACAGTCGTTTTTCCATGGGCGAATGGGGTGGCTTGTTTTTTAATATACAAGAATAATCTTTTGGGTTGGGAAGATTCAGAAAACTTTCAGAACATACGTGTTCAGTTTTCTTTTTGGTCGTTTCGTATTCGCTATCAACACGAGAATAATTAGTTTGTAAAAAGAATTCGTGCAATATTCACAGCATGAAATCCACTTCACAAGAGTTATAGGGCAATACAGGGTAATTTCTGCGCAATAAAACCGTGCTGTTCATGTATGTGCATGGATACATTTGCACGCGTACACATACATGTATTTGTATGTACGTATTTCTGCATTCAGATATTTGCGCTTAGTACACATCATAATGTATCTGTACGTACATATTTTATATTCCGACATTTGCGCACGTACATATACATGTATCTGCATGAACGTATTTCTGCATTCAGATATTTGCGCACGTACAACATACTGTATCTGTATGTACATATTTCTGTATTCAGACATTTGCACACGTACACACACATGTATCTGTATGTACGTATTTCTGCATTCAGATATCTGCGCGCATACACATACATGTATCTGTATGTACGTATTTCTGTATTTAGACATTTTACGGCACGTACACACATGTATCTGTATGTACATATTTTTTTTATCCAGACATTTGCGCTCGTACACATACATGTATCTGTATGTACGTATTTTTTGCAATAAGGACATTAGCACACAAACATCATCTGTATCTGCGTATTTTTCACAGGACATTTGCACACGCACACACGTATGTATTGTGTATGTAAGTATTTCTGTATTCAGGCATTTGTACACGTAGACACACATGTATCTGTATGTACATATTTTTATATCCAGACATTTGCACACGTACACATACATTTATCAGTATGAACGTATTTCTGCACTCAGACATTTGCACACGTACACAGCATCCAGGCATTTACACACGCACACACACGTATGTATCTGTATGTACGTATTTCCGCATTCACACCCATGGCTCGACCGCACTCACCACCATCGAAGTCGACGCAGACGTGGCCGCCGCAGCAGTGCTCGTTGGCGGTGCAGCGGCGACCTTCGCAGCCCTGCTCCTCCAGGATCTCCTCGCTCAGCAGAGCCTCCATCAGCTGTTCGCGAGAGACACCAGTCGCTGGA